ATTCAGCGAGGTGGCAGGCAGTGGTGTGTCCCCACACCCAGATCTGGCCTTTCCAGAATCAGCTGGTGCTAATTTTCAACAGATTTTTAAATTGCAGCCTCAAATGCTTTTATGCTTTTTTTTTTTTTCTTTTGCAGCCGGGACCGTTGCTGGCAATGGCACGACGTGAAGGCCTGGCGAGCTGCGCCGTCACGGGGCTGAGCTTTAGGCAGCATTCTCTTCTGCGCCTGATGGGGAGAGGCTGGAAAGCAGCTGGAAAAAAAGTGAGACAACAGGCCAACGACCTATTGTTGAGAAGGAGTTAAGTGACAGAGAGACAAAACAGACCTTCCAGTAACTTGTTGCTTGACTTCTGGGATTGGATGCAACTTCAGCCCAGGTGAGCCAAAAATCATCCCACCAACCCCCCCCGCAAGGCTATGGAGGGAGGAACCGCACCATTGATGCCTCAGCATCTCCATGGGAACTGGATCAGAGGGGGGAAAAGTGGAAGAGGAGAGCAGAGTGTGGACAGGAGCGAGCAGCGGGTAACAAGGAGGTGGCGGCAGTGGGGATGAGCGGCGTGTGGAAGCCATCCGTGCGCCTGAGACACCCCACGGTGAGCAGTAACAGGCTTGCTGCAAAACCTGCTGCCTTGGTGAAGAAAACGAAGCAGCATAGTGTGCGTGGCAGGGGGACGGCATGTTTCCTCACAGCAGATTAAAGCCAGCAGCAATATCAGCAAAGTGAGCTTGTGGGGAAAAGCAAAAGCAGGCAAGAAGAGCTTGCTCTTCCCACAGGTTTTGTGGGGAGGAGAAGAACAGGGTGAGCAAAGCAGGGAGACAAGGGATGCTTCTCCACCCACATCCTCCTCCTCCCCTCCAGCCCCCTGGGGAACCTGTGGCAGGAAAATAGCCTCAGCAGTGTCACCTCCTCCCTCTTCCCTCCAGCTGTGGCCTGGGGGTCTCTGGGCAGTGGTGGCTTTCACCTGGGCTGGGGTGAGCAACCTGGGGTTCCAGTGCCCGTTGAGCCCACCCAAAGCATCGTCATTCACCACTGAGGGGCTCGTCCCTTCGCTGGGTGGCAAAGCAGCTGCCTTAGGGCAGAAGGACGGGAGTTCATGGCGGGCCAGGGAAAGGACCAGCAGCAGGCTGGCCGAGTGCCGCTCACGGGCATCAGCTCTGCACCTTGCAAGCGCCTCTCTGCTGTCCCACAATGGCACCACGTTCCTGCTGCCCAAGAACAATGTGGGAGCATTCCCACACTGCCGAGGGGAAGAGCTTGTGCTCTCCACCAACACCTGCACTGGTAGCCCCCACTCGCTGGGATGTCTCTTCGCCTGCCTCCTGATGGGAGCAGTGTCTTGGGCAAGCACAGGCAGTGACAGTCTTGGTCTCTGCTTCTGCCCATCTCTTCTTCACGTTACCTTCCCAACGGTTCTTCTCCCCTGCTCCTTTCTAGCTGAGGGAGTGAAACCCATGGTGGTGTCAGTCAGGGAAGTGGTGGTGTTGCCATCCTCTGCCCTGATGCCTTTGGAGGTGGGAGTTTTCCAGAAACAGTGCAGATCTCCCTGCCGCATGTGCTCCCCTCCTGGAAGCTCAGCTCTGCCTGCACTGGCTCACACGACACCAGTGCTGCTTGGGTCATCTTCACATCAGCTTTGCTGAGCATTTTGTGGCCCCAGACTACTTCGAGATGCCTTTAGCTTTTTCACAAGGAGCTAGTGGAAGAGGACTGATGGATGCTAGTGTCTTTGCTTGCCTGCACACACAGATGCAGATGGCTACTCCTGCCTCCCCTCTTGAAGGTGTATTTTCACATGTGTGAGTTGGGTTTCACCATTGTGCCTGACCGCACAGTGGTGGGAGCAGCTCCCAGGGCTCCCCCATGAGGGGTATGGGCATGGGGCCACCCAAAGCAGTTACAAAGCTTCCTCATCCCAACGCAGACATCTGCATCTCCACAGATACTCCTTCCCCATCTGACTGAGGCAGGAGGACACAACTGTGAAGTTCACTCCATGGTGTGTTGCTACAAGCCTGGCAAACTGGTTGAGGCTTCAGCCATTCCTCTCAGACAACAGACACCTTTCAACCAGCAGACTCCTGACAGCCTGTGATTATTTTAATGTATGGCCTGCAAGGTGATTTTGAGGAGGAAACTCGACACCCTGAGTTTCCCCCTCAAACTGCTGCTCGGTTTGGTTGCTGTCTGTCCCCTCCCACTTCCACACAGCCCAACGTGCTGTCTCGGTGCCACATCGTCCCGATTCCAGCATTTTAATGCAAGAGCAGCAAGGGATTTGTCGCACAAGGCACAGCCGATGCCGTGCAGCACCTGGGGCTCATTGCCTCCCTTCCAAAAGGAAGAGAAGGAAGCCACTGTCTGGTCATTTTGGCCTGCCCAGAACACTCTCTGCCAGGACAAGCTCAGTGATGCAGCTAGTCTCAGCTGAAAAACCTGTGGAAAGCATCAGAAATGTCAAAATTGCCTTCTGCTCTGCAGCAGGTCTACCAGTGATTTGTTTTTCTCTAAGCCGGGCAGCTGCAGGATACGCTACTCTCTGCAGTTTTAACTGTCATGTCCTCCTGATCGTATTTTTGTGTCCACAGCTCAGACACATCCTCCATTTATAGGACAGGCAAACGGCACTGACATGGTCATCGTTTCTCCCCTGCACACCTACCTTCCCCCTGGGATGCTTAGAAATGTGTCCAACTCCTCCTTCCACCCCAAAAACCTGTCTGTATTTTGCAAGAAGGGGAAGCTGTAGCCCAAAATGATTGTTGCTTCAGGAAAAAAGGAAGAGGTGGTGGGAAGGAATGGGCTTTCCCCCTCCCACCACGTCCAGTGGAGATGGAGGCCAAACCGTGAAAGTCAGGACAGAGCGATGCCAGCCTGAGTGAGCAACCATGCCCCGGGGAAATGGGGCTCTGTGCCTTTGGATAAAATAGATCCCTCTTACCTTCGCTTGACGCTGCCTGTGCTGCGGAGCTTCTCTCTTAGGTCGCTTGCTGAAGCTTTTCCTTCTCCCCCAAATACAACCCTTAACGCGTGCTACAAAAACAGGGCTGCAGGCAGCCCTGAGCTGGAGCTGCCGTGGGTCGTCACAGAGCTCGGGCCCTTTGCGGCAGAGGAACAGCAGCAGGGACATTTCAGTGGGCAGCAGCTGAAAAAGGATTTTCTTTCCCAGGTCTGCAAGCATTTGCTGCTTTGCAGTCTGTATTTTCCCATTTTAAATCAAATCTGAAATCAAATTTAACAGTTATTTACTGGTGCAGCTTTACGCGCTGCACCAGAAGAGAGGTTCAAAGGGTGTGGGGGGAGAGTGCCTGTAGCCTGCCATTTGGAGGGATCCATTAAAAAAAAAGCAATAAAAAAAATACAAAAAGAAACTGTCTTCTTGCAGACACAGCCTCAAGCAAATGCACACGAAGCCATGAAGGAGAGGGAAACGCCTGCACTGATGTATCTGTCCCCAGCCAAAAACATATGCTCACGGCAATATGCACAGACTGAAGGGAGACAAACCAGAATGATGTAGCTGGACCCAAAACAAAGTTCTCAAGGAAATAAATTCCCCGATCAGCGAGCATCTGGGTTCCAGGTCCTGAAAAATCAAACACTATATAAAATGGACTATCATAAACAGGGACATGTGACCTTTTGCTCAGCTGGACAGGACATTCAAATGGGAGTTCAAATCCCAGGGAATGGCATTTAACCTGGATATCCCGCTGCCTGGATGAATGCTTTGACCACTGTAAGGTCACCTTTCCCTCCCCCGCTCCTCTTCTGTCTCATTCCTGCCCCCATCACCAAAACCACCTTGCAAATTCAGGATGAGCTTTCTACCAGCTAAACCTGGTAAATAAACTGTCCAGCTATAAACTCTCCAGATTCTGGTTGTTCCTTTTTTCTTCTTCAGGGTGGAAAACAGCGAACCGTATCATTTCAGAGCACTGACACCAGCTGATAAAATAATCCTGACATTTGCTTGCTGCAGGTTAAAGAAAGCCCCAGCAATTACTGAAAAACCTGCAAGTTTTGGTTCTGTCAATGACCAACTTTATTCCCTATCACTATAGTACACTAATGTTTAACATCAGCTATCAAATTTCCCATCCTCAATAACTAGCAAAAAAGTGTTGATCCAAAGGTGGTATCACGAACAACCAATGAAAGAAATTTACTGTGTCTACCGCTGCTGGCATGAAGGGACACAGCCTCGTGTAGCAGGAAGAATTTCTTTGACCTTGTTTGAGTTCCCGGCATCTGCTGATGCTGTCAACATAGGGGCCAAAATTGCATGCAGCGAGGAGGATACCAGGCTGTTTGGCACAGGAGATACCAAACAAAACATTACGCAGTTTTCATAGGAACAATTTTTGGCCACTAAGAACTACGGCTTCGCTCAAACTGGGAAAATACCAGTAGAAAGCCAACCAAGAATTAGTTTGTTCATACACTGCTTATTTTTAGCTCTCCAGCCAAACTAGCATGTGAATTTCCTGAGTTTACTTTCACCTGACACATGAAGGTGCTTTATGAGCACTGATAAAAACTAACACTCAGTTAATGTCCCCCAAGCTAAACGGACAGAACTGGGAACAGTTAGTGAAATTTTCCTCTGTAGGGGAGCTGGTCTAGTCAAACTCAAGAGCAGAAGCAAGAGAGAGTAGTTTCTAACAATGACACAACCCCTAATTGTATAGATCATCATTTCAACTCAGCTGCAAGAAAGCATGTCCGCATGAAATGCTATTTGCATAAATTACACTTAGCCAGGCCAAGTCCTGCACCCGTTGCACTACACGATGGAGCTTAATGCTGACCTCAGTGAGCCAGAGGTGTGGTTCTCAATTGCGTGGGAGTAAGACCAAACCCACAGTCAAAAACTGGGCACAGCAACAAGAAGAGCTGCCCAGCTTAAGAGTTGCCTGGCTTATCCCCAGTCTCCAGATAATTCTCCTCCCTCGTTCACCGACTGCCCGCTCCTGAACACAAGACAAAAAACTTTGACGGGAAGCTCCAGCAAGATTTTATTCAATGGTATACAATAGGGAGAAATTAAGATTAAAGAAGAGTCGTATACATTACTGATTTTTCAAGTTGCTAAAACAAACCCATAGTGACATGAACAACTGAGGCTGACGACGTAACAAGAAGCGTGGCCACCATCTCTCTAGTGTCCATACCTGCAAATACATAATATGTTAATGCTTTTTAAAAAATTATGTTTCATACTAGTGCTGACTTGGGCAGATTTATTCTCATTCTACCATGATGTAATTAACACGTAAACCAGATGAAGGTGAAATGCTATGGTATGGAAACCTTAGGAAGTTCTCCACGTTTCACTTCCCCCAAAAGTCTATCCAGATACTAGTTAGAAGAGAGACTGAGCAATCCACAATATCATATGCAAGAGACCCTTGGTATCATCATCTTTTGCCCTGAATCCCACTTCAAACGTACCCTGCGTGAAAACAAGGCCAAAGCCTGTCAGAGCCCCAGACGTATTGCTGAGCAGCCACAAGGAGATACTGACTCACGTCTCCATTTCTCATCATGCTGCCCATGCAATATTAAGTCACTAGTCACACAGCCCAGTCACTGGGCTCAGTTTTCATTAAGTGTTCATTAAAACATCTTAACATCAAAACTATGGTACTCAAGTTGTCATGTCAATGACAATTTGCACAACTGATTGTGAACCAGATCCCAGAGACAATCCTGAACAGTTACAAGATCTGTTTTGCTTTGTTTTAATCTGGACTCCTGTTAGAATTAATATGTTAGGGTTTGGTTTTTTTTTTTAAAGGGGGTGGGGAGAGGGAAAATCCACAGTTAAGAAAAGATTAATGGATAAATGGTGCAGAATGAAGCAAGTGACAGGCAAACTTCCTAACTACTCTCAATGTACAACTACCCCTCAAAAACCCATCCATGGAGCTCCTATTATTATTATTCTAACAACAGACCTTTGAAAAACACAAAACAAAACAAAGAATACCGAAATTATGAATAAATGGGCCAAGGCTGTAGCAATAGCTGCATGGATATTTGATTTCCAGATGCTAGGAAATCAGCTGTATTAATCTCTTAGCCTATTAGAGTTATAAAACAAACCACCAAGATACAGAGGGACCCAGTAAGATGTCTGGCACCTCAGCAGAAATGCTTTGGAACACAAGCAGCTAAATTCAGGTCATTTTCTAAACCCAAATTGCTTATGCGGCAGTATAGCATTCACCTGAGGCTCCACTTTCGGTGAATTCCATTTCTCTTCTGCTCTCCATTCTTCAGAGAGAATGTCAATAGAAAGCACTACTTTTTAACAACTCCCACTTACCCCGCAGCTATCTGGGCTTCCTTCAGAGCTCATTTACCACCGGGTGACTAAGAAAAGGTCCCTATACTGAAGAAAAAACCTTCCCCTACAGCAACCATGCCCTCAGACCCACAAATGAGAGAGATTACCCACATATCTGACATTGATCATTTCTATTACCAGAAGGACAATTGGATTTTTCATCTTGAAATCTGTACAGGATACCTACTTTTGGAACTCCCATTCCCTGTTGTCCAGCGGACATACTTGGCGAGTTTTGAGCCAGCGAGAGATGCAGTGGAAGTGGAAAGCATGCTGGAAGAGAAAGTTCAGATCACATCATTTCAGAACACATGAATGTATCTCAATGTGAAAACTACCACTGAAAGCATCGCAGTGAGAAGAGAGTAGCAAGTGTTTGAGACAAAGGTGGGGAGGACTAATCAGCCAGCTCACTGGTAAACAAGGAATTGATCCACATTTTCAGAGAGGAAGGGAACATTAGTGAAATGGCAGCAGGGAGCCTGTTCCACAGTGCATGCAGTGGCAAGTGACTGACTTCTGATGAAGGAGAGAACGCAGAGTTCAGCAGCTGCTAAAATTGGCAGAGCAGATGCTGATAAGAAGCATAATCAGAAAGACAAGAAAGAGGATTTCACAGTGAGTAGCAGGGATGATATGTATGTATACATGCTGAAGCTTTCTGCCAGTCTTCTGGACAAACCAAAGCTTGAATAAAAAGGAACTTGCAAAATTAGAAAGAAAAAAAAATCTCTATTACATCTTTAATAAGGACACCCTTTTCCATACCCCATACAGCTACTTAAAAACAAGGTTCCACTTGTGGTAACTCTTGCACACAAAACCATAATTTTGACACTAGAATATTCTGACATGGTTAAAAAGTTGCTCTTGTCCTCTACAAACAGAATTGCAACATTTATAATCCTGTTCCAGTACTATCACGCTGTAACTTCATCCCACAGCATAGTGAGGACGGGACTGAGGAACAGGTAGTTATTCCATTATGGAAAATTTTATCTTTCAACTCAGGCCCAAGCTAGCTAAGAGGTATGCAAGTTTGAGTTCACATGCTAGTGGGACCATGTATGAAGGAGTGCATACGGCAACAGATTGAAGAGCTAGAGATTATACACTAGAACCAATTTGATCCTCCTCCAAAAGGGGAAACAAATCACCTAGTTACCCCATATTGACTCCTTGAATCAGCCTGCACAAAGACAAATCAAGCATGCTGACACCCAAATAATCCTATTTCCAGGAAAAAAAAAGGCATAGCTCCTAGGCAGAACCTTGATCAGGAAAATCATGCTCAAAATTAAAGATCTATTATGCTTCCAAAAAATATGGGTAAAGGCCTATCTTCCTCCCTTCTCTTCTGTGTCTTCCCTATTACACCTCTCCAACTTTCACTCTTTCTTTTTTCTTCAAAGTTCTTTTTTCTGGTGGATTATCTGAAACTTTTTATAGAACTTGTTTTGCCCCGAGTCATGAAAAAAGGGGATAGCATCACCACACGTGAGCTCCGCTCAGTTTTCCTTACATTGCAGACGCCCCATGCAACTGTGCACTCTTCAGAGGTAGCTGATGCTTGGTTTGCTTGACATTCTATGCCTGTGAAAACAAAGATTAAACACATATATGCAGGAGTAGAAGATGTACATGCAACACCAACTGCTAGATTTCTTCATAATAGCAAGGGCCGGGGGGAGAAGAGCTCTTTGTTTTGTTGCGTTCATTACACCAGAAGTGTCGAGAGCTGTTGGTTTAATGTGTACTGTTTTCCCAAAAGTATCAGATCAAAATATACTTCATCCTGCTTTCCTCCTTCCTCTACATTTTTAGTATTCCAAATTTCCAGAGGGCGAGAGCACATAGCTCATCTACCGGTAACATGTCTCTGCTTTCCAAATTTTAAGGATATTTTTAATTTGTTCTCTTGTGTTTTAATAGATGTCTTTTGATGATCAGTTGCAGTAGCAGAGCCGTGAAAGAAAGCTTACTTAAATTTCTTACCCAGGTTTCTCTAAATATAAATTCACTGTCTCGTCAGGCATTTTATATTATCAGTTATATTTACAAATTAATTTGCTCATGTAATGCTGGAGTTTGCTGGGCTCTCTTCTATAGTCTTGTGACAGTTAAGCACAGCCCAAAAATACACAATAAAAATACAGTTTAAAATGTATTTTTTGAACTTTTTACACCTTAGAGCTGAGTACCTAGGATGATCCCAAAAAAGATAAATACCATTTATGGGTTTGGGTTATGTTTTACTTTTTGTGTCAGATGGCATGGATGAAGGAGACGAGAGAGAGAAAAGAAGGAAGAACAGCACTGAGAAAATAAATCCAGCAACCTGGTTCTCCATTCTAGAGACTGAAAAATTCACTTCTGCTCCAGCTCAAGAAGAAACTTCAGGAGAAAAAAAAAAGATATTTCCAACTCCTCTACAGCCAGCAGCACAAACCTATGAGACCAACATTTTACTTCCTGCAAAAGGATGCTTTCCTTAAAAGTCAAGCCCAAATGGTTTAAAAAGACATGCTGATAGATGATCAGCTTAGGACTCGATACATGGGCTTGTTGCTTGCTTGTTTTGCAGTTCTTTTTTTCCTGGCAAAGAAAATGTCTGAATGAGCTCCAATTCTCTGTTCACTTTTAGTGTGCCTAAATATGCCCAGAGGAAAAGGAATTTGATTCCCCAATTAAAGATTCAAAAACTTTCAAACCCCACAGGTTTGGCTGAAAAATGTGACCTTTATTTGCTCTGTCCCATTCATCCCTTTCTCCATTTTTCACTCTCCCTCAGGTGTGGAGATGAAGGAAACAAGAGAAAGGCACGTTTTTCCTGAGACGTGAGAGATCAGTTAACCTCGGTCACGAGGAACAACTCAAAACAAGACTGAGGTCTAAAGAAACTCAGTAGCAACAACCATTCTGCAAGATCTGAATGAACCTTTCTTTATTATATGGCTTACATCAAGATACGATATACCACAGCAGGAAGTCCAAAGCTCAATCCCTGGCCTGCCTATAGAAGAGAACAAAATCCAGTGCACTTGAAATGTCTGATGTCTTAATTCCTTAAGCCCTCAATACATACAGCAATAAACCTAAATCTGATTAAGAAAATGGAAGATGCTCAAGAACCTTGAAGAGCTTCAATTACTTTGGACATTTGTTAAAATCTGACACCCAAGATTGCTGCAACAATTTTACTGTTACTGCAGTATAGACTCATGGTCTTGCTGAGTATCATGGGGCATATTATATTAGGTTTTAAATATTTGGCATAAGTCCGTACAGTAACAGAAAATGGTGAGAAGATTAGTAGTAGGAAAAGGAGAGGAAATTCATTTGAAGGAATAAAGGTCAACTGGTAAGCAGACTTTAACTCAGGAAGCCTCTGCTGAAAGCAAGGAAAATATTCCAGCACACAATATACTCATCTTGTTTCTTCT